TCATATTCCGACAAGAGCCGAGAGGACAGGGCTTCATGCAGAACCCTAAGATACATTGTGGACATTTAGTTTGTAAGTTGCCACTTCCGCCGCACCCTTTAGAGGAATCATGCATGGACGGGAATCTATCACTGGGGTGTCCCGGAAAGGACTATTCTCCACAACCACGACCAAGGCTAGTTGCAAGCCTACAAATCAACCACTTTAGTATCACAGCGGGCTCAGCAAACCTCCGGATGCGAAGCAACCACCTCGGTATCACAATGGGGGCTCCTACCAAAAGGGCGCCGCCCGTTTTGCTCTTTGTTTGGGAGGCTTGTTCTCTTGGCGCGAAAGTAGATTGCACAATTCCCTGTGGGTAAAGGGGATGACTTCACCCAAATGGACGAATTGTGCTATCTACTTTCACCGAACTGGAGTTTAACTCTTCAAATGTGCAGGATGTGGCAACGTCCGATAAAACTCCATGTGCCGAAATAACAAAACAACATCAACAAGTGAGCCACAATCAAACCCCGGGTAGATGAAAGTTCGTAAGGGACAATCCCAGCCAATATTTGCGGCCGCCTTTGTATTTCCTTACATGATTCTGGGTTAACCATTTTAATTCCCAGCTTTGATTGTGACTCAGTTGCCGCGTTGTCCCATGTGCCACGGGAGCTTTGGAGACGAATCTTAGGTCAGATGCCTGGGGTGGACCGTCTCATGCTCACCATGCTCGCGGGGAGCGTACCTGCTGCCTCAGGCGTTTCCGCGGGTTAATGGCAGGTCCATTCGTTATTTTACATATATATATATATATATATATGTGATGTATATATTGTATACATATATACGAGAAACCATAAATGGAAACTGCATCTGTTTTGGGAGGGTACAAACTTTTGACTCATACCTATTTGTTCACCCACGATTCTTTGGATAAACAAGAAAGCGCCTCAAGCAACACGAAGTCCCAACCAAGCACATCATGCGCTCAAGAGTCAGGAAGCCGCACCCTGAACGCAACAGGTCAACCAATGAACACAGGTTGCTAGTTGGAGACAGGGAAGCCTACCCTTTTCGCCCTCATTGAGGGTTTGATGTTGAAGTTAGTTTAGGATTCTTTCAAGATGACCAAACCAGGAAACCAGGGGATTCCCTGTGGCCTCGCGGCTGAGTGCCACAAAAGCCTGACAACTCAGCTTCCAAGGCTATGCCGCATGTGCACATTCTTTTTGTTTTTGTTTTTTATTAAGTCAGCTGGAGCATGCAACTGACATGTGTGATGCTTCCAGGCAAGGCCTCTGCTGAGATACTCACCCTACTTAGTAAGTTGCTAATTGGTGTGTGCAGGGTTGTTGAAGTTGCTTGCAATGCGAGTCGAACGGCCGGAGTGTAAGTTTTCAGGTTTTCCCGGCATCTACAGTAGATATTGCGACCGCTGCGTTGCCCTAGTTCAGCAGTGCAAAATACATGGCTTTCCTTGAGCCAAACCCCAAAATGCCCTCATAGAAAAGCCACACCCATGTTAAGAAGTTTGAATATTGAGTATTTGCGTGGCTCATGACTCGTGACGGGTGTTTCTTTTGCCATGGCAGACTTCGACTTGGCAACGGAGCTACTTTTGGGCTACCACCCAGATACTGTAGGTTCTGAAATCACTTCATGGTGTTCGAAGGTCAGGCTTCAAGTCTACCTTTTTCTGATACCAAGGGAATATTGTTTCTCTCCCCCCAAGAATCTGTGGAACCCTCTTCTGCGTGCAGACCTAAATGTTGGGAGTCCGCCTGCTAGTTAGTCTGTGGTTGGCAATAGTAGGGGCGTATAGCTAGTAGAATCGACCCACATGCCATTATCGCAAGTCCCCAAAGTGGGTTTGTCTCAACCCCCCACCAACAAAAAGGAAAAGGTGGTTTGATCGTTGGTTTCCCAGTGAAACCCCAAAAAGGAAGCCAACCCCGTCGCGTTTCACCTCCCCAAACTGGGTTTCCATTTTGTTGTTTGTCTATCTAGTGTAGACTATACAGGGCTATGTCTTTTTGCGGGTACCCTTTTTTGGTTGGTTTCAAATGGACACCAAAAGGAAAAGATATCATTTTGGGGGGTCCAACCTCAGGAAAGACACACTCATGAAACTTGCCGGTCTTCAGGAGCGAATGACCCTTATCCACCATCTCTTGTGGTTTCCTTTGAGGGAATCCCGGGGTTCATTCCCACATTCCCTATCCGTGTTTGTTTGTTTTTTCTCGGTGGGTGCCTGGGCCAATCTGTTGGCTCAAAGCGAGGGCTCCTGGTCCCCGAAGCCAACGGCCCGGACCTGCGGTGTTTGCTCTTCCGCACGGACGGCTCGGAGTGCGGAGAGGTTCAGATCAGTGCCGCGCCCAAGGGAGGTGGGTAGGGGGTGTGGAGGGGGTGGGGGGGGTGGGGGGTGGAGGGGGTGTCTTAAAGGTTGATCCATATTCCGTTAAAGGCCCGGAAATGACCATGGGTAACTTTTCCCATGTGGTGAAAGCCATCTGTTTTGGTGGTTGAATGGAAGGACCTTTTGGTTGGTGAAAGTCACCCTGTGAAAAGGACCTTTTGATCAACCCCCGCGTGACGGTTGTTGAAGGGGATGTGGTGGAACCAAAGGTTTGGCTTCCCAAGGTAAAGCAAGGGCATCAGGAACCGGCATGAAACAAGCTTGTTTTGAGCCCTCAAATAAGAAAGTTCACTGTCGAAGAAAGACACGACTCCGTTTTCCTTCTCAGTCTTGACCAGAAAACCACATGTGTTGTCTCTTCAAACTGTTGCTGCCCTCCCTATTCCATTGTATAATGCTGCTTCATCGACTTTCAGTCTACAACTTACTCCCCAAGTTCCTGGAGTGTGTGCTTTTTGGGAAGACCATTCTTGCGGAAAACGAAAACGAAAAGTGTAGATGTTGTTGGTCAATCCACTCAGGAAGTGAGGCAAGGGAGGGCTTGAGACTTTCCTTCTTAAGTTATTCAGGGCTCCTTAAGGATACACTTTGCCCATTTGAAATATGATTTGTTCCATCAAAATAAAGGGAAACCGCCATTCACAAGGCAATGTTCAGGTGGATCCATTGCAAGGATCCCTGTCATTGCTGGGACCAAGTCAGCCCCTCCTCAGTCTACCGTGTCCGTTTCCTCATTATCGTCCAGCGCCCTGATCAATAGAGTGCCGTTGGCTTCTTGCCACAGAGCACAACACAAGAGCGCGTGCTACACTTACTTCGCAAACGAGCGGTGAGAAATGCGCTGAGCAACTTGGAATCAACTGACCACGTCTTGGACCCATGTTGCGACCGCCGCCGAAGCACCATTCGACATGTCGTGAAAGAAGGCAAGGATCCCCCTGAACAGGAATGTTTTGTTATGCATCTTTGTTTGGTTTGATTCCATGTTGGTATGCAGCAAAGTCGGCTGCTGTAGTCCTTAGCTAGACGGTTTAAAGGCTTCAACGCAAACTTCTGAACAAGCCTAAAATAAGGTCTAAGGGCTATACGGGTATGTGTGACGATCGGGGGACCCCCAGAATGGTGTTTGTTCTTTCGGTTTCACTTTCAAACCAAAACTGGAAAGGTGCCCGCAAAATCTCACGCCGCTGTTTCGTTGGGCCCGGATTTGGGGATATTCTAGGTCCCCCAGCAGTGCCCTTCTTAACCCCTTTTTTGGTTGGGAGGGTTCCCCTATTAAAGTAGACTACAGGAAAAAATCGGGTACCCTTATTCAAACCTCTCTACTGAAGGACCTGGTTGGGGTTCAGTTTCCAACTTTGGGCCTGGGAATGAGTCGCAACTTGGACCCAATTCCATGGGGAGGGCCCGGAGTTGGGGATCTTGGGACCTTTGGGCCCCGAGACCTAGTCCCAAACCAACCAACCAAACAACCAACTAAGCAACCAACCAACCAAACCAACCAACCAACCGAACCAACCAAACCAGACCAACTTTTTTGGGATGGTCCAAGCCAGGGACCCGTGGTCCCATGTTGCAACCGGCCGCCCTGTGGGGGCCCCGAGGCATCGGCAATGGCTCCGGCCTGGAGGCGGCTTTCCGTGCCAATACCTCCGCCAGCTTCGGGCCCACGCTGCAGGCCAACCGCGTCCCAGGACGGAACGGGAAGAACAAAATTGAACGCGCCGGAACGGGGGTGCGGGGCGTGCAGGGGCTTGTTTGATTGTTTGTTCGTTCGTTTGTTTGATGGCTGGATGGATTGGACTGGACTGGATTGGATTCGATTGGATTGGATTGATTTGGATTGGATTGGATTGGATTGGACTGGACTGGACTGGACTGGGCTGGATTGATTATTTGATTTGATTTGATTTGATTTGATGGATTTGATTGATTTGATTGATTTGATTGATTGATTGATTGATTGATTGATTGATTGATTGATTGATTGATTGATTGATTGATTAATTGATGGATTGGACTGGATTGGGTTGGATTGGATTGGGTTGGGTTGGGTTGGATTGGATTAGATGGGATGGGATTGGATTGGATTGATTGATTGATTGAGTGATTGACTTACTACCTGACTGAGTGACGGACATGGTTTGGCACGGTTTGGTATGGTATGGCATGATACGGTGTGGTTTGGCTTTCTTGCCTCTGTTCGATGTCTTTCTTTCTTTCGAGCTTTGTTTCTTTGTGTATTTCAGTTTTGCTTGTTTTTACGTCTATTTTCCTTGCTTTCTTTCTGTCTTGCTTTGGTCATGTTTGTTTGTTTGTTTGCTTGTCTTTCTTTCTTTCTTTGTTTCTTTTGTTCTTCTTTCTTTCTTTCTTTCGTTCATTCTGTTTTTTTCTTTCTTTCTTTCTTTCTTTCTTTCTTTCTTTCTTTCTTGATTTCTTTCTTTCTTTCTTTCTTCTTTCTTTCTTTCTTTGATTGCTGTCTTTAGTCATGTTTGTTGCTTTGCATTTGTGTTTTTTTGTTGCTTGCTTACGTTTGTGCGTTGTTTCCTTGTTTCTTTTCTTATGTTCTTCTTTCTTTCCTTTTTTGTCTCTTTCTTGTTTGCTGTGTTTCTATCTCTTTCTCTCTCGTCCTCTCTTTGTTTGCGTGCCTTTGTTTGCGTGTTTGTGGTTTTAGTTGGTTGGTTGGTTGGTTAGCTGAATGGTGTGTGCTCGTTAGTTCGTTCGTTCGTTCGTTCGTTTATTTATTTGCTTGCTTGTTTGTTTGTTTGTTTGTTTGTTGGTTGGTTGTTTGCTTGCTTGTTTGTTGGTTTGTTCTTGTATTTGTGCGTTTGGTTTGTCACATTCTTGGGGGGGGGGGTGTCTTGGCTCGAAAGCTAGCTTCGACAAGGCCCCGCTGAAGACCCGTTGTAGAAGGGCTCGTCTTGGGCGTGTTGTATTGCGGAATCCCCGTCCGGTGACTCCCCGTTGTCTCAACAGCGAAGCCAAAATTCCCTGCGGGTAGCGTTGAAGCGTGGATCCTGGGATTACACCGGTCAATCCTGGGCCGAAAGTGTTAAACATTCATCGATTCCTGGGACTTAGAATTCGATCCAAGATCCAAGATCCCAGATTGTCCGGAGACTTTGGGGGCAAATCGTGGATTTATCCAATTCTAATCCCAGGATGTAGAAATCTTCATCCAGGATTGAGAATTGATGAGGCATTGATTGGAAATCAAAACCCCTGGATCTAGAACTGACCAGGAAATAGTTGAGGTGATGAAACCATGGGTAAACCACCTCTCAAAAGGTGTCTCTCTCAGAAATCTCAAAGCACCACACATTGCATACATCTCCCTTCGGAACCCACGGCAAACATCGGGTTTGCTTATGAACAGATCAAAAGTCGATCTGGCGCTAAGGTGCTGACCTCCGACTCTAGGGAGGCGGAAGAGGTGACAAGTGAGCAACTTTTCTGGTGACGGAGTTAGCAAGTTAGGAAGTTAGCAATCCTTTGGGGGAGGGCCAGGTAGCAAGTGAACAAGTCAGCCCCGCTGACTCTCACTGCTACCAGTAATACTGCTACTACTACCACCTCCACCGCTGCTGCTGCTTACTACTTACTCCTTACTGCTTACTGCTTACTGCTTGCTGCTGGCTGCTTGCTGCTTGCTGCTTGCTGCTTGCTGCTTCCTACTTTCTACTTTCTACTTTCTACTTAGTACTTACTACTTACTACTTACTACTTACTACTTACTACCTACTACTACTACTACTGCCACTGCTACTGCTACTGCTACTGCTACTGCTACTGCTACTGCTACTGCTACTGCTACTACTACTACTGCTGCTGCTGCTGCTACTGCTACTGCTACTACTACTGCTGCTGCTGCTGCTGCTACTGCTACTGCTACTGCTACTGCTACTGCTACTGCTACTACTGCTACCACCACCACTACTACTGCTACTGCTACTGCTACTGCTACTGCTACTGCTACTACTGCTACTACTACTACTACTACTACTACTACTACTACTTCTCCCACTACTACTCCCACTACTACCTGCTACCTAGTTTCCACTCCGATTTTGATACTGCTGCTGCTGCTACTACTACTACTACCCCGCCAGAACTACCACCACTACCACTTCTATCGATTGAGGGTGTGCTTAGGTTGCCGCGTGCTTTTTGGAATGATTTGAATACCAACAAGTGGAACGTAATTACCTGTTTGTAGCATCTGATGTAGCGCTATGTCGGGGTGGAGAAGTATGTTGTGCCCTGAATGTCACAGCTTAACATCTTGACACTTGGGAGACAGCGTCTTCTGAGTGAAGCATTTTGCATCATGCTGCTTGTGTCTTGACATCTTCTAATTTTGCGTGCTCAAGATGCCTCGTCATGTTCGACAAGGAGGAACAAGATTCCCCCCCCCCTCCGCCCCGACATCGGAAAGAACGAGATCCCCCCTCCCCCCCACTTCCAACCCCCCGCCCCCTAACAGATGAAAAATGGGACGAAACTCTGCGGGTGCTGCTACTACTACTACTACTACTACTACTACTACTACTACTACTACTAGTACTACGACTATTACTACTACTGCTACTGCTGCTACTGCTACCGCTGCTGCTACTGCTCCTGCTTCTGCTACTGCTACTGCTACTACTACTACCACCACTAATGCTAGAGGTCTCTTCTAATCCTGAATCATTTTTATTTGATCCCTCGGCATCCGGGGCTTCTCAATGGCCCCTCCAGGGAAGCTGCCGTGCGCTTGGATGTTCACTTCAACAAATTGGAACCATGGCCACAGAGGATCCAACCCTTGTCCCTCTAAGCATGCTTCGCCACATACGGAACCCCCCAGGAGGATTCCTTTTTCTACCTTCCCGCCAACATGGATCCCACCCTAAACCCTAAACCCCAAACCCTAAACTACGGTCCAGACCCCAGTCAGATTCCATGGATGGAAGCTTCTTCTGTCCTTTGCAGGCGAATTCCCGTCCCGCGCTTCCCTGACGCCGATGCCCCGCACCTTCGACTCGGCCTCCAATCGGCCCTCGATGACGCCGCCCACGCTGCCGCCGCACTCACGGCCGCCCACGCAGCTCTGA